CGCGGGTGCAGCAACGCACGTAGTTAGAGCACGTCGTGGTAGGTCACTGTACGCGGGCTTGGCACGATGCGCGGGCGCGGGGAGTAGCGTATTATTATGTAATGCGAAATTTGTATTGTAGAGTAACCACCCATAAATACATATATCCGTTCATGCTCGATTTGGTGCCCAAGCGCAACGAGCCCCAACTGTATAGGACTGTTGCACTCTGTTCCTATATTTTTGCCAGGCGTTCAATAGAGTGGAACATACAGATATCGGGCGAAAAAGATGCAAATAGACGGAGACAGACGGGAAAAGACGACGAACGGCAAATAGCTTTTTGTGTGCATATGGACGGATATCTATGCATTCACCTACATACATGTGGATATCTGACTACTTCTGCCTTTTGGGCGGACTGAAACGGGCCAAAAAAGATGAGAATCGTGAGCAACAGGGAAGGTTCTCACTGGGCCTCAACCTTCCAAGTGCTACGACCAATCCACTTCAGATCGATATAAGGGTCCCACCACTCGATGCGTGCCGTCTTGGTTTCCGCGTCGAATTGATAGCCCGCGACGAATGGCGCAGGGCCGAGGAACTCGTGTCTAGGAAGGCGATCAGCAAAACAATGGCTGGTCGCTCTCGTACCCTTCCGCTTGTACATGCCGTACCACATCAGCGGTAGGTACGAGTGAACGTGTGCGAGGCTATGGTTGATTAAACGCACCGCGTTGAGGCGATCGCTACTGGAGAGACGAAGTTCACGCCCTCAAACCCAAGATCAGGTCGCTGGTTGTAAAAGCGGTAAACAAGCAGGTTCAGATTTTCACCCTTCTTGAACTTGGCCTTCGAACAGCATCAGCTGGCTACTTAGCTACAGACACGCGCAGCCCGGACGTACGGTGTGCGAATGGTCTTCGTCGTCCATGTGGCGGAGGGGGAGGTATATCTTCCCATCGAAAGGAGCGGGGTATAGTTCCACCGGGTATTTTTGTAACTGAGCTTCGGGCAGTAAGATTGGACAGAAGCATGGAGACCGTGTCGAGCTTACATCCCAAGATATGGTGTTCGCAATGATGTTGCATACCGCTTCCTGCACGGAGCGACGCTCGGTTTCGAGACTGGACGTCCTTGGGGAGCGAGGGTTCTTCCTCTTGACTTGTTCGCGGGACACGGTGCGTCGTGCTACCCATTCATCCCGAGTCTGATCTGTCCATTCGTGCTGCATCGTGCTGATCAAAGAAGCAATTGGGAGACGGAATAGTAGGACGGTGCTGGTGCCGATGAGCTATAGTATTGCGCACTAACAAGGATGAGACTCCAAGTAAGTATACGCCTACATGGAGGTGTCGGAGCGCCCAAGATCGAGGACGCGCTCGTCACGGCTCGGCGGTCTCGCGCTCTGCTTCCATCTTCTTTCCATCCTCCTTTCCTCCCCCTAAAAGCTCGGTCGACGAGCACCATGGTTGCCCGCTCTGTTCTCGCGCACAGGCTTCGGCTGTCTGCAACTGTCCCCCACGTTCGCTATGCTCGCGCCCTGACAACTCAGCAACAGCAACAGCCCTCGACGTCTAATCCACCCCCAGCCGGGAATCTGGCCAAAGACGTCCCGCCTCCCCCTCAGACATGGCTTACGAAGAGGGTCAAGGAGAACCCTATGGCGAGGGCCGCGTTCCTCAAGCTCATTACTCTCATGGGTTACGGGTCCGCGAAGCAGTACGCGGGGAGGAGGGCGTTCGCAATGTACACTGACTTGTGTGTACCGCGACCAGACGAGGAGAGCGCATTTTGGAAGGACGGTATGTTGTTCTCATTTGTATCTTTTTCTGTCGGTCGCCGCGAGTCGTTTGCTGGGAGATCGTCTGAGAAGTTGGTGATTGCCCTTGTGTCCTATACGTTTCGTTGCAACCCTGCTATTTCGATTTGTCCCTCCATGTCTGTACTCAAGCAAGACGCGTCATGGAAGGTTGCGGAGGATCGCCAACAGTTCGTGGCCTACTTCATGTCTTTTCCCTCACAGCCTACCATATGCGTTGCGACATGCAGTCTCGCTCGTCGTGTCCGTTCAATCATGAATCCACGTGGACCCTGTGCTCGCCGTTTGCATGCGCCTGTTTGCTGACTACATGCGCGGACCCTTACAGATTGCCATCTTCCACCAACATTCCAGTCCTGGTTCACCATCACGAACCTCCACGTATGGCTCCTCACCGTTCGATTGCGCGCTCTTCCTCCTCCACTAGGGACAAACTACGTCCAGGGCCTAATCGACCACTTTTTTCTCGACATCGAAGACCGCGTCCGGACAGTCCTCCAACCCGTGTCACCAAACTCGATCGCGCCTCCCCAAAATCTCCGCCCGTACACCACGCCCTCCGACTTCTATACCGTAGCAGGTGCGCAAGGGAAGCCCCGTCCAAAAGGGAGCGCACCCGAACGGCTCGTCACGAGACAGATGAAGATATTCAAGGAGCAGTGGGCGGGGATGGGCATGTCTCTAGACTACGGTCTCGTTCACAGCGACGCCGAGCTCGCGGCTGCCGTCTGGCGTAACCTCCTCGGAGCGCGTGGTGCGCGTGGGATCGCCTACCCGTCGTCGGAAGGCGCAACTGTTGACAAGCCCTTTTTCCGGCGCACGATCAACTTGGTGGGCGGTGAAGTCGAAAAGGTGGAGCAGATAGAGAAGGTTGGGTACGAAGTCGAAGAGTCGCGGGACGACGGCTCGGGTATACACGATTTCCCTCCGGCGGAGGTCGACAAGTACGTTCGGTACCCGGAGCTGATGGCGACGCTGGTGGAGTATATCCGGAGGGAAACCGTGCGACTGCAAAACCTTCCGGACGAGCAGATCATCGGGAAGCAGGAGTTTGGGACGGAGAGTCACGGGTTGGGGACGATGAGGTTTGGGCCGGTGAAGACCGCGGACGGACTAGTCGCATCCTTCGTTTCGCAGCCTGAAGTCTCTGAGGTCTGAATCCTACGCCTCATTCTTGTCGACATGGTTCTTGTCGACATGAGATAGACCGCGTAATGTACATGTCATATGGTACTCATGCTCGGAGTAATGAGATCGATCACGACTCGAGCTCGTGGTCCTCCCCCGCGTTCGTCTTCCAGTGAGGCATGATGCGCTCGAGTCCTCGACGGCGCGAATGAAGGACGGGACCAATAGGCCACAAAGCGTGGCTATGATCCTGAACGCCGAAGACCAGACCGCAGCTCGACATCGCTCTTCAGGTTTCAACCTCCATCTAGCCTCCGCCTCCTGGTTCGTCGACAGCTTTGCCCCTCTTGCCCCCGCCCTCCTCGAAGGAGGAGATCCCTGCGATGCCGTACCACGACTTGGAGGCCCGGAGACGCGGGGCGCAAATCCTGTCGCACTCACAGCTCGTCCTCCGCTTTCTTGGGCGCTGCGCTCTCGCCGCTATCAGGCTCCCAGTCGTACCTCTGCTCATCTGCTTTGCTGCTATCTACCTGCTCGTCGTGAGCAAGCTTTTCCTGCATCTGGAAGGGGTTTGGCAACCTGGCTTTCCGACAGGGTGGACGGCATGGATCGCGTTCCTCATCACTCTCCCCGTCTTCTCCGCCATGCAGCTTGCGTGGCTCCTCGCGTCCTTCTGGGTTCGTAGGAAACTGGAGCAGAGGTCGAAAGGCGCAGAGTATCGGGAAGAGGGATACATGATGCTGAACGGTGGAGGCAGTGGGAGCATGGCTAGCGGCGAAGAGGGCTGGGAGGACAGGGATGTTCGAGGCCACAAGTCGCGCGGGCAGCTCTGGAACGTGGGCACCATCTGGCTCATCGTACAATGCGTTGTCTATGGCTACATTGTCCTCGCTGGTTACTACTCGTACAAGCACTACGAGCACCCGGGCGACATCCGCTTTCGCCCCGCCCTGCGCAAGGCACTCGCAGAGCGCCATCCCAGCCCTCAGGGCTACGCACGTGGAGAGAAGGTCTTCATCGCGGCCGCGTTCCATCAAAACGAGCAAGTCCTACCGTACTGGACGCAGACGATGCTCGACGCGATCACGTACCTCGGTACGGACAACGTCTTCGTGTCCGTTGTCGAGAACTACTCCAGCGACCGTTCCCCGGAGCTCCTGCGCGACTTCGCGAGCGAGCTCGACAGGCGGGGCGTGAAGAATCGAATCCTCGTCCAGGACGAGACAATCAAGAAGCCGGAGAAGGTGGAGTGGAATCCCCGCATCGAGTTCCTCGCCGCCATCCGCAACCAGGCCCTCGAGCCCCTGCTCGCACACGGAGGGTACGACAAGGTCCTCTTCTCCAACGACATTTTCATCGAACCCGAGTCTGTCATCGAGCTCCTCGAGACGCGCGATGGCGACTTTGACTTTGCCTGCGGACTCGACTTCGGGCACTTTGGCGCATACGACATGTGGGTCTTGCGTGACCGCGTCGGGCACCTCACCGCCGGGATCTGGCCTTATTTCTTCGATACTGCGGGCTACGAGGCGATGAAGAAGGAGGATCCTGTGCCCGTCTTCACTTGCTGGAACGGTATCGTCGTTTTCCAGGCCGACCCTGTCCTCCCCATCCACCTTCGCAGTAACCGGACGCTCTCGAGATCCCCGTTGCAGGCACCTCCTCTTCCAGGACATCCTTGGGCGAAGAAGCTCGGACCATCGCCCGCACTGACGCCTCCTCTCGTATTCCGTGCATCTGTCGAAGGCGAATGCTATTCGTCCGAGTCGTTCCTTCTGCCCTATGACTTCCGAAGGATTATGGGACTTAACAAAATCTACGCGAATCCTCGCGTCGTCAATGGGTACGTGTGGAAGTACTACGCGTGGCATAAGTGGGTGTTGCGCGAGCGGCACGTCAAATGGTTCATCGAGCAGGTTTGGGATGGGGCATGGATGCAATATGCACGGATGATCGTGGGCGACGCAAGGAAGGTATGGACGTGGGATGGCGTGGATTGTCATCCTTGGTGGTGACTACTCACTACTTACAGGGTTATGCGTTTGTGTACATAGACCTTCGCTACGTACGTACGATGTGTGTGTATGGTAGAGATTCTGTAGTCTGGGAAACAGTTGCCGAGCTCGATGAGTACATGGGAACAGCGCTCCTGGGCGCTTCAAATGAGTGCGTTGTGCTTTACTCACCACGCACGAAGCCCATCGGACTTGAGGTGACATTGGTTTGCACACAGTACTTGGCATAAAACCATCGCAGGTCGTTTGTATCGTGCCCAGGCATATGGGTGTTGCATCAACACCCCTTCACCACGACTCCCACCCTCCGAACCTCGTCTCCCACCGCCATCGGCTGTGCTTATAGTAGCTGCCCGCCATGCCACCCACGCACCGTCTCGTTTCTGCCTCTCTCGTCTTCACATCGCCCTCCAAACCGAGGATAATCCCTGGACCTAGGCGCCCCCTCTACCGTTGTCGCATGGCCAGTACTTCTGTTGTGCGTGCATACTTTGCCTTTATACGTAAATGTGGCACCCGAGCTTCACAGAACCACGCAGTTTGGCCTGAAGGAGTCGTCTTTGATCCATAACCAAGCATACATCGACGGAAAGTGGGTTGACGCGAAGGAGGGCGGGGTCATCAAGGTTACCAGTGCGTAACATTTCCGTTCCGACTCTCGGGTTCCATGTCTGATGCCGTCCCTGCACGGCGTGCGCAGATCCCGCCACAACAGAGGAGCTCGGGACGGTGCCGGAGCTGGGACTAGAGGAAACCAAGCAGGCTATTGACGCAGCTTCGAAGGCGTTCAAGACATGGAGCAAGACCACTGCAAAGGTATTGACGCCTCCTCACGTTCATCGCTCTCAAACGTATATTCGCGATGCAGACACGGCATGATATCCTCATGAAATGGTATGCGCTTATGTGCGAACACTCGGATGACCTCGCACGCCTCATCGTGAGTTATTTCCTTGTTGATATTTGCCGGTCTCCTCAGATGGCGGTGTAGACTTTGGAGAACGGGAAGCCCTTCGCTGAAGCCAAAGTAAGCCTTGCCTTGTGCAATCCACTCCGAATACCTGTAACGCCTTGAACACTCGACCAGGGCGAAAACGCGTATAGTGCATCGTTTATCGAGGTGCGTAGAGCCAGCTTCGCTTGCGTTGGACCGTGTCTGAGATGGCTTCTCGTAGTGGTTTGGTTAGGCGTTATCCCACTTTCGGGGAAACTTCTCTTACGCCTCGTGTGCTTGTAGCTGAGGAGGCAGTTCGGACGTACGGCGGTGAGTGCGCAACTCACATGTCTCGCAACTACTCTGACTCGTGCCTCGATGCTTAGAGGTCGTTCCTTCGGCGTTCATGAACATACGCAATGTCGTAGTGAAGCAACCTATCGGTACGTCACTTACGGTCCTATCGTACCTATACATACTAATACCTGTGTAGGTGTTGTGTGCGCATCTGTTGTCCGGTCCAGTCTGGCCATCAACTGACGTCCCGGCAGGTCAATCTTGACGCCTTGGAACTTCCCCTCGGCTATGATCACCCGCAAGCTCGGCGCTGCCCTCGCAGCAGGCTGCACCGCCGTCATCAAACCCCCACCGGAAACACCCTTTTCTGCCCTCGCGCTTGTCGAGGTAAGTCCCGGTCCTGCCGCTTGTGCGGTTCGTCCTGGCAGATTACTGCGCCGCACGACCGGTTGCTCACGATACTATGTGCTTCATCCGATTGTCACTGATTGGCCTGCACATGCGCAGCTTGCGACCCGCGCTGGCGTACCGCCTGGAGTCATCAATGTCGTGACTACCCAGGCAAACGTGAACGAGGTCGGGCGGGAGATGTGCCAGAATGCGGCCGTCAAGAAAGTCTCGTTCACTGGTAGTACCCCTGTAGCAAAGATACTCTATGGACTCGCCTCGACCACACTCAAGAAGGTCTCCATCGAGGCCGGCGGCAATGCGCCGTTCATCGTTTTCGACGATGCTGACATTGATGCGGCTGTCGAGGGTGAGTCACATCGTCATCTCCTACCTTCCGATACGCTGACGCGTGTGCTAACTTGGCAGGCGCCATTGCAAGCAAGTTCCGTGGTACAGGCCAGACATGTGTGTGCGCGAACCGCATCTACGTCCAGTCCTCTGTCTACGCAGAGTTCGCTTCACGTCTCGCCGAGAAGGTCGCTGCGTTCAAGGTCGGAAACGGCCTCGACAAAGATACGTACGTATTACCTCCGACTTTCTCTCGTTCCAACATCCCTGTTGATTATTGCTCTTCGAGCGCAGCACCCACGGGCCCCTGATACATGAGCGCGCGATCGAGAAGGTCCAGAAGCACGTCGATGATGCGCTCCAGCAAGGCGCCCAGGTCCTCTTGGGCGGTAAGCGTCTCCCGGGCATAGGCTCGTTCTTCGCGCCCACCGTCTTGTCGGACGTCCCTTCCACCGCGCTCGTGAACCAAGAGGAGACATTTGGGCCCCTGGCAGCGCTCACGAAGTTCGAAACTGAGGAAGAGGTTCTTCGGATGGCGAACGACACCCCCGTTGGGCTCGCCGGTTACTTCTACTCTCGGGACGTGGGAAGGGTCTGGCGCGTCGCGGAGGCGCTTGAGGTTGGGATGGTTGGGACGAATACGGGCTTGATAAGCCAGGCGGTCATTCCGTTCGGTGGGATCAAGGAGAGTGGGCTCGGTGCGTATCCTAGGATGCGTGAGGTGGTGCTGATGGGCAGATGCTGATTTCCCTCGATGATACAGGTCGCGAGGGCGGACACGGCATTGAGGAGTACATGAACATGAAGTTCATCGCGTTTGGTGGCTTGTGAGAGATGAAGCGCAGTAAAGGATAAATGCAGCATATGATCAAGTATGTACAGTAATTTCACTTCTTTACTACGCCATGCTTCAATTTCCTGCAGCATTAGCCTATACCTTCCTATATGCGGGTGCACTACCTTTTTGTGGAACATGCGAATGCTTCGACTTGCACGTGTGCAGCGTTCCGACTAGGAACGCAATATGTTGAGGTCAGCATCAACGGCCTTCGAGGCTACGTTTTCAACGCATCGTTTCAGCCAGGCTGCGCATATAGCGGGGATAAATATCGAAAACCAACCTCTCGCCACAAACCTGGGATGATCCTCGGTAGTTCATATACGTCAGGTTTCCAGTCTTATATTCAGTTTGCTCGCAGGCTCCAGAAGGCCTTAAGGTTACATCGATATCGATGATACACAGCTGATCTCGGTCTTAGCATATCATCATGGGGCTCAGAGGACACTGCATATTCTGGACACGGGCACTTCCAACCTTTCATTTAGGTCCCTTATTCTGCCTAGTGGCACAGAATGACGGTGTGCCGACTGCAGGAGAAGACCCCGAGGCAGACACGCTGATGAGAATGGTTGTGATCGGGGGCTTCCTAGGCCATCTCCAACTTGTTAGTCACAGAGAGCTGTTCTGAGGAGCAAATTGCAGCGTAGTTTGTTCCGGCTTTTACAACGATATTGGCTGGATAGGTCCGATAGGCCGAGTTGGGCAAGGAGAAGGGTCACCGGTCGCTGTGTCAGGGGCTCTTTTCGGGCGTCAGCAAATGCGAGCTATTGCAACTACATATAATGGAAAAAAGGCGAAGGGTAGCACGGAGATCGGGCGGAATTGTGCTCATGAAGTTGTGTTCAGCACTGGTTTCTACAAGGGTTGCTTTCTACAAGGGTTGCTTCAGACTCTGCATGGTAGTGTGCCAGACCGCTGCAGGCTCTTTAAGCGAAACATCCTCATCGCATTGGATTAAGGACTCAAGGATATAGACGCCGGTTTCGAGAACGATGACCCGCCGTCTGAGGACGCTGTTCTCAACATCCATCATCGTTTCTACACAGGCCAGCACCACTCTCCCTCCCCGAGGACTCTCTTCGCCTTTGGCCGACATGTCGGCGTCTCAACCTCACCACATGGCCCGTTCAACAGAAATCCAAATCCCTCAGCTAGCTCTGTTACATCGTCTCAAGCCAGTCACGATATTACATCCTGGTTACAGCCCTGAACAGCAGTTCATCCTCCTCTCCCTTCCCGCCTACCCCCAGGTCACCACACCCACAGACGGGGCCACGCTGTATGGCGTCGCCTGCTGTCTTGTCATCGACGCCTGCCGCATTCTCACCAATTTTGCCGCCAACAATCAGGGAGACTATCTCGCGTATGACCTCGAAGGCAACCTCCGTGTCCCGGCAGCCGACGACACCTTTCTGGAATCGGGCGAGTACTTCTACCACCTCGGCCCAATGCACCCCGCCCAGTATCCCATTGTCGCCAAATTCAACGCATTCATATTCCCCATTGCCCTTCCAGCTCATTGGTCTCGACACATGGACGATCAGGAGGACCTCGACTTATGGGCGAATGTGACAGAATCGGTGATGTCCGACAAAGTGAAATCAGACGATGGATGCTGCATAGTCACCAAACACTACAATGGTACGCCCATTCACCCCCAATGAGAGTAACTCTTCAACCACCATGGCAGCTTGCGACAACGCTCATCTGGTGCCCAAGGAACAACAAGCCTGGTTTCTCGCCAATGCCATGGGCCGATACAACAGGAGCCGGATGACGGGCTCTGTCGACGACGTTGCCAACGGTGTCACTCTGCGCTCTGATGTGCACCGTTTGCTCGACTTGCACGCCTTTGTCTTCTATCCCATAGGCGACCGCAAGTTCGTAACATACATTGTGCAACGGAATATCCATGACTATGCGGAGCTGTTGCATGGGAGAACGGTGACGGTCCCTTTGCGCGTATCTCACGAGTTCCTTTACGCCCGCTTCGCATATAACATCATCAAGCTCTTTCCAAAGACGTTGCCCGCGTATATTAAGCGTTTCCAATCCAAGGAGACACTTAGGCAGGAACAAGAGGCGCTACGAGAATCGAAGCAATCGAAGATGTCGTCGACGAAGACAGCTCGGTCTGCTCTCAGCTCAATTTCGGAGGATCAAGACACAAGTACGTACTTGGATATTGTTCTCGCATATGCGCCGCTGACGCGTCCTCCTACTTCAAGCCATGTCTGAGGCCTCTGAACCCGTAGGGAAAGATGAAGGTGACACGCGTGAGTAAACCGTGACTGTATGCAGTGGATCAGATACTGATTGCGTTTCATCTTCCGCGACCGATAGAAGTATTGGCTTCCGAATATCAGGTCACGGAGGATGGTGACCGGGGCATTGCCCCTGGTGACGACCGATACAAGACAAAATATGCTTTATGGTTTCCGAGATTGGGTGCGTCACCCTTCTGCCGGCTGCGGAGACGCCTACCCTTCTAGCGCAATAGACATTGATTCATTCACATAGCGGAACTCCCAGAGGTCGACAATCCCCCGGAGTCGCTCAGGACGACATACCACCCAGAGACACCCAAGATGCTACGGCTAAGGTCTGAGTACATCAAGAAGCATCCGCAGGTGTGGCAGACGTCGACGACCCCGGCTGGAGCGACTCGGCCGGACGTGGAGAGCTTAGTTGCGAGGTCTTTGGTCCGATGAACAATGATGTTTCCGCTGTTGATGATGGGTACCAGGTGTGTACGTGGGGTTAGCAGGGATGATGCTGGAGAGGCACTGTAGGTCGGATCCGGCACAGTACTGAGTCAGAGAAGGGACAACAGCACGACAGGAAACAACGTGTCCCCGATTTGAGTTTCCTGCGCAGCAGCGGGATCCAGTAATCACATGTGTTCCTTGCTATCATTAGAGGTGGTCAGAGTGCCCGATTACAGGGCGATTATGTGATGATTATGAGATGCGATTGTGAACACGATTCTGTTGAACCCAGGAGGGCGACGGCCTACCCCACAGGTGGCAACTATGAGGGACAGCTGTTTTGGACAATGATTATTGTCCAGGGTCTATGACAGTGTAACTCGTGCCACCCCCTCGCCGCTTTACATCTGCTTTGTCTCTAGTAGTATATAGGTTAAGGGATCGCAGCCCAGGATCCTCGTCCCCTCGCCCTTCGGGAGCTCGCGCTCCTCGAGCTTTCGTTTTTGCACCCGCCCTTCCGCTGCCTCATTTTTGGTTTCCCTTAGCTACGTCTCATGTATCAGGTACATTCGCCTTCCGCCGAATTGAGCTCGGCCCACTGGTCGCGCGAGAGAGCGGTGGCGACACGGACTTGGTGGTCCCGCGCAGCTTTCGTAGCGCGCGCCCAATACCATCGTTTTCCGTCCTGCCCGAGTATAGCGTGCTGTTAAGGTTGGCCCAACGAAGATTCGACCCCATCACATGATTATGTGACAGGCGTGACGGGAGGTGTCGAATCTTCGTTGGGCCAACCTTAGGACTGTGCCGCCGGAGCTCCGGAGTTCCGGGGTTAGGAGTCGGAGCCGGGCGGACACGGGGTGAGGACTTCGGCGAAGCTATTAGCAACGCCCTGAGGATCCCGACGGTGTCCTCGATTTCGGAGTCGGAGGTCGGACGGAGGACGGGCGGAGATCAGACGGAGGTCGTCGGAGTCCGGTACGTAGATTCGGCCGTTGAGCCGGAGGAACCCTTCTTCATCCTTGGACCAACGGGGGTTGCATCAGCAAAAGAGCAAAAATGTCCCTGTAGATTACCCTCCCACGCCTAGACACGCAAGCTCAGAAATATAGGGCGTGGTTCGAGTACTATTCCGGTGGACCTGTCACGTTTCCGTAGGAAGGCAATGTCAGTGGCCTCCCCCGATGCGCAGGCAATGGTCGGGAATGCCAGGCAACACGACCGAGATGTCGTGGGTATTGCATGGTGTTCCCAACGATTGCGTTGCCCCGCAATACCGGCGATTGAGCGCCATAGAATTCGGGATTGCCCAAGATTGTCGGGATTGCGAGACAGGGCAAATGCCAAAAGACGGTGTGATGTAAGGCAACAAAGTAAGGAGTTTGCCAGACAATCCAGGTGTTCCCTCGGATTGCTGATATTGAACGCTCAGAGGGGTAATGGCAGGATAACCTGTATCACATGCAATGTAAAGGATTTGTTTGGCATTTAATGCCTGTGGGCAGACAAGGGAGGACGCGGGGAGAGGATTATATTGCAGATCAAGACGGGAATACAGGACAGCATACACATACACGACAAGAGGAAACGACGCAATAACAGAGGTCAAGAGGTCCGCCCGCGAGGACACAAGTGTGCACGAAATCCGCTACGACGACATCGGTGGTTGCCGCAAGCAAGGAGTCCTGAACAAGATCGGCCATGACGACATCGGTGGTTGCCGCAAGCAAGTAGTCCTGAACAAGATCAGCTACGACGACATCGGTGGTTGCCGCAAGCAAGGAGCCCAGATCAGAGAGTCTGTCGAGGTCGCCCTAGACGTCAAGAAAGAGCAATGGCGAGATAAGCGTCACTAAACGACGGCTTCGGTGTAGAGCCCAGACAACTCTTGAGAGGATGGCGGTGTACCTCCAGCGATATCCACGAAGTCGGAAGTGGGGTCAACAATCTGCGCGGAGGATGAACGAGACCGTGCGTCCTCGGCATGTTGGGGCGATGAGTTAGGAGCGCTGCTCTCGCGCTGCGCACAACGTGCCTTGAGTTGAGCCGTCCGGGCCTTGAGTACCTGTGCGCGAACATTATCTTCCTCATCGCAGTCTTCTTGGTAGATATCGGCGTCAGGATCCTGCTGGTCCGGAGCACCAGCTTCGCTTCCGAACACCTTCCTGTATAGGCCGAGTTAGCATATACGTTGTGTACGTATGTCAAGGGAGAACCCTGAGTCGGAACATGAGCAGATGTGGGCTTGGCATTTGGCAGTGACCAATCAGGTTCTCCGAAGGCGGAAGCCAGAAACGGGGAACACATCAATCAGAGTGGGGTCTAGTACATAGCACTTACTCGTTAAAAAACGTGAAGATGTTCCATTCCAATTCGTCTTCTGATTGCTCGAGGTAGCCGTCCTCCATGTCTTCCGTCCACGCCTCGTACTCGACTGTGAGGAGCTGGTGGAGAGCGGTGTGAAAGCGGTGACCAGACCGCTGCCTGTCATCGCCGCACCACCGTTCATCTTAGGGTTATGGGATATCGTCTGGTGGGCCGACCCTAGGGCAAAATAAACCCTAGGATGCAGGGGTTAAACCCTAGGGAACCCCTAACCCCAGGGGGGGCCCTAACCCCAGTGGATACCTAATCAGGAAGGTGGTCTAGGGTAACACACGTGACTGATTAGCGCCCATGATCCCAGGGCACACAGTAGAGGACACTGCGCGCACATACGAGAGGAGAGGATACACACTAGCATATACTTGTGGTACTGGGAGAGAGACACACGGTAAATATGACTCGGGCACAGACATGTTTGAGAGCACTACATGGTTGTGATTGTCCGTCCCAGACGGACACCACGCAGACGTGACCTAAGGCGCCTGTCCGTCCCAGACGGACACCACGCAGACGTGCCCTAAGGCGCCTGTCCGTCCCAGACGGACAACACGCAGACATGCCCCACGACGTCTNTCCGTCCCAGACGCACACCGCGCACATTACGCCATCGCAACGGG